TTTTGACTATGCTAATTAATGACTGATTTAACATTCGGCATACACGAGTAGCTAATTTTAATGGTGTTTCTGTTTAGGTGGTTAGAGTCGGCGTGAATATAATTAAGAGTGTTATCGGGCTTTGAGTAAGGTTGGAAGGTACTGTTGTTAAGATTTAGTGTTAAGTCGAGGTAATTGACAATTTTAATATTACAGCTGATAGATAAATGGAGACCATTGCTTTTAAAAATTTTAACAAAATGCTTCTTTGTTTTTTCCATTTGTTGGCCACTACGATTTTTAAATATAGCTAGACTGTCATCCCGGTATAAACCTAATTCCTTCCCGTTGTAATATTGGTACAAGATAAAAACTCCCACTAATTGGCATACTTCTGCACCATCATAAGCACCCATAGTTACATCAAGTAATTCTCCGTTTTTTTTAATCCAAGAAACGCCATAGGTAAAGATTAAAGATTTTCTCGCGTGCATAATAAATTTCCTATCTTCTTGATTTATAACTAGGTGCTGACCAGCAAACTCTATTGCGTCGCTTAGTAGTTTTACATTAATCGATGGGTAAAAGTCAGTTATATCGAAAATTAAAAATGTGTAGAGGTGTTTTTCATTAATACCTTAAAACCAATGTAAAACATCTTGCGAGCTTTGCCATTGGTTTAAGCAGAGCTTTTTCCTCAATGTAGCATTGATTTTTGAGATAACAGTTTTGGAAATTCGTCCTACTTCGTTTTTTGCTGGGTTTAATATATATATATATATATATATATATATATACATATATATAAATATATATATATATATATATATATATATATATATATATATATATATATATATATATATATATATATATATATATATATATATATATATATATATATATATATATATGTATATATATATATATAGGTTGTGCATATTAAACATTGTCTTTACTTCTCTTCTCTATCTATCTATCTATCTATATATATATATATATATATATATATATATATATATATATATATATATATATATATATATATATATATATATATATATATATATATATATATATATATATATATATATATATATATATATATATATAGATAGATAGATAGATAGATAGATAGATAGATAGATAGATAGATAGATAGATATAGATATATAGAAGAGAAGTAAAGACAATGTTTAATAAGCACAACCTGGGCTCATTCGGACTATTGTTCGTTTCAAAATACTGGTCAAGCATTATGTAATTTTGTGACTAGTGACAATTTAATTATAGCTGTAATATATTAAAAAATGTATTTCTTGCTAATCCTCTTAAAGATCTGTTTTGTTTAACTTTATTTATTTAAATTACTAAAAAAAAAATCTGTCTCAATTTGCGCGGCAAAATGACACAGGATAGGTGCTGTCAATAAATGATCTCTGGTGACCAAACCACTGCAGTTTTGCAAATCATATTTTGTAAGCTTCAAGTAGGATAGTAGAAGAATGGAAAAATATCAAGTTATTTTTTCAAAAGTTGTTGGGTGGGCCGTATTAGATAAATTAGTGCTTAAGACTTAAGCACTTATTTAATAGGGTACTTTACTGGGTAAAATGAGACACTTAAGTTGAGTGTCTCATTTTTCCCCTCGTTACGCTAGAAAAATCAACTTTTACAAATAATCAATTGCTAATTCACAATAATATGAAACGTGTTTGTCAAAATCAACATAAAAAACCAAAAAAGACCCGAATGGGGGTGTAGGTTGTGTCTCTGCCCATCCCCCCCCCCCCCAAGTTGTCAAGAAAGCATTTGAGTTGGCACATAAAGCAAGTTTTTAACTTTAGATAGCAAATTGCAATTATTAATGACCTTTTTTTTCTTTTTCTTTTTTGGCTTCTAGTTAGCAAAAAATATACACTCTCCCCCATGGATGACCTCTTCGGGACGGACCTGAGTCCCAAAAGAAATTCAAAGAAAAGACACTTGTTGATAAATTTGGATACAAATGTCTTATAGCAGGATTAGGGAGTTATTAACATAAATGGGTAAGTTTTGAACTACGTTGCATGAAAAAAAATGTTTTGCCACTGTGCTTGAACTTTAAGGTTTTCACAACTGCTGCTTTAGATAATATAGACCACAATTCAAGTTCCACTACAGCTGAAGACTCTTTTCACGAAACAGAAATATCATTATTCCAGCACAAAACATCAGAGAAAGCTGGATCAGATTTTGAAATTTCTTCTTTAGAGTTTTCTAAAAAAAAAAAATTATTAGACCTTTCACATTTATACACTGAGATTCGACCAGTTTAAAATTTTAACGAAAGACCAGAAATGGGAAACTATTCCTAAACTTGTTTAAACAACTTCTTTCGGGAACTTACAGCTTAAAAAAAAATTAAAAAACGTAAGACTTACTTTCACGCCATCTTTTGCATATTGTATGATCATATAGTTAATCAAAGATATATATATCTTTTTTTTTTCATTTTAGATGGTTGTACTACGTTAATGTTGTTTTTCCAACTGTACATTTCCTGCTAGATCCGAGATGGCATTTTAAAGAATTTTTTGCTTATGAAAACCACACTTTTCCACCGACAACTGTACTGTTAATGTAACTTAACGACAACTGTTAATGTAAATTAACGTAGTACAACCATCTAAAATGAAAAAAAAAATCAAAAATTACAAACTTAATTATAATTTACAAATTTATGTTCGCAGGGGCGGATCCAGGAATAATTTTGATTGTAGCAAAAAAAAAAAAAAAAAAAAAAAGGTCCTCAAATCCAGAGTACTGACACTCTTGACTCTCCGTTACCAAAGAAGGGAGGGGGAAATGTGCTCGAATCCCGAATACGAGGAGGGGGATAAATATAAGGGGGAGGGGGCAGTAGCAGATTACATCTTTATTTTATATGCTTATACAATATGCTTATACCTTGGTGAGAAATAAACAAAACACATTTTCGGTACAATTACTATGTCGATAATTTATAAAGCCTGTTTACACTTTTTGTTTTTATCGGAGACTCAAAAATTGTTTTCAAATTTTTAAGGCCGATTTTTGCAGATTTTAGGTTTGAGATATAAATGTTTTGTTGATAACAAATAAAAAGAATAAATGGGGGGGGGGGGGGGGTCTTAATAAGCTTAGTGTGATGGGGAAAAATATCGGAAATTAATAAACAATAGGGGGGGGGGGGGCGCGTTTATTAAGGACTCGAGTTAGCAAGATAATGTTAAATGTGGGTGAATCTTATGATAATTTACCATCCAAAAATGATGGTTAACTATCTTCTCAAAATCAAATACCATTAATAAAATAGCAATACCATGACAATTAACGATTGCAAGTTATTCTTACCTTAATTGTGTTCAACATCCAAAACTGTTGGCTAATGATCAATAAAGTAAAGTTCATATCATGAAAATTTACTAAATTCAAACCATATTTCAACAGTATTCAAACTAAAACAAAATAATGGCAAAGATAGAACTACAAAAATATAAAGAAAAAAAAATGTCATAAGAGGTAAAAAACTATAACTATTTTTTAACAAAACCTCATAACATAAAGTTAATAATAAATATGAAATATTTATGACATCAAAAAAATATCCTCTTTAAATATTCCATCAGTAATAAATAAAAGTATCCTATATTATATATCTATCAATTTATATACATATTTATATATCCTATATCTATCTGTAATCAGTATAACTTTATAACAAGTATATCTATCCATCAGAGTTCAATATATTTTTAAACTCAATTCTTCGTGGAAATGCAGTCGCAAATTCATCTACAACAATATTTAAGTCAATTTCAACATCTCGATGAATGTGCAACATGAAAATTCCATTTAGGCGATCATCTGTCATAGAATTACGCAAGGAAGTTTTAATTCTTTTCAGAGCTGATAATGATCTTTCACAAGTACATGTTGTAACTGGTACTGTGCAAAGGATTCGAAGTATAGTAGAAATATTTGGAAACATATTGCCATCACATTTTTGTAGTGAATCTGAAATAGTTTTAGGAGCTGTTTCAGAGTGATTTTTCCAATATACTTCCCACATATCCAATTCAGCATAAAGATAACTTGGTTCTTGTAAATCATTATTGTATGTATGAGCAAATTCTTTTACTTTTTTCCTCCACTTCTTGTCAGAGATTAAATTTGATGGTATGATGACGAAACTATCTAGCAATGTTAAATTTTCTGAAGAAAATAAAGAATCTAACTGTGTTAGAATGTGATCAAGAAAAAGAATCGAACAAGTTACTCAATAATATTCACTAATATCATCTACTTGATGATTATCACGTTGTGTTTGTTGTCCACATGTTCTTGGTTTAGATGGCAAGGTATAATTAGTTGCAGCTATGGTAACAGCCTCTTTATACCATTCTGAGTGTGAAATTTCAATAGAGCTCCGAATAGATAAAAGAGTGTTTTTTAAAATTTCCACATCATCACGAGCTTTTGAGAAGTCTTGATCAACTTTTTGGAACGTTTTTGTCAGTGGTCTCGTATACCCTAATAACTTCCTGACTATGATTAAGGTGATGATAAACTTATACGAACAACATATTGTCACATATGCAGAAGCATCACCTCTGGATTTGTAGTTCCATGTCTCATCTTCTTTAATACAAGTAAGAGATGCAATTATAGCTGGATATAATTCAATAAAAGCTTCAAGACCATCAATTCATTCAATCCACCTGGTTCTACAAACATTTATTGTCTTTTGAAAGGATGATTTCGGACATAGCTCAACAATTTTTGTAGATAGATCTTCTAACCTCTTTGGAGAATTATTAAAAAAATCAGAGACAATCCTAACATGATCCATCATATCTCGAATTGAAGGAATTGCACAGGAATTGCTTTGGCAACACACAGATTAAGTTGATGGGAATAGCAGTGGATGTATGGAGCTTTAGGAAATTTTTTTAAAATTAATGCTGCTACACCACAAAGACGCCCTGCCATGTTACCAGCCCCATCAACATGTTACAACACCTGCACAAATATCAATCAACTCATTCTGCACTGTCTTTGATCGATAAGTGGCATTTTCAGGACCATTTTTAAAATGGTCACTCAAGATCTTGTCACCGCATAATGCCATCAGATCTAATAAGCATTGGAAATTACCAGCATTATTACATTGCAAAGCAAGATGTTTAGCATCATCTCGATGTCCTCTAAGTGATATATTCTGCCTACAACAAAAAAGGATTGCACGTGATATTGAAAACAAAATTTGCCGATTTCTAGAAATATTATCAGATAGAAATTTATTGAGTTGCAAATTAATTGGAACGGTTTTTTTACTAATTACTGCTTGGAAATCAAGCATTATTTGTATGGAGGTTTTATGCATTGGTGAAGTGTTATTATGTGATATTACTCTTACATTTCCAACTGACCAAAACGGAAACGGATATTCATGAAATAATTGACTAGTTGAAGAAGCCTTTCCAAACAGAACACAAGATATACAGAATAACCCATCATAGTACTTTGAGTAACAGAGCCATGAAAATTTTTTGAACCAAACAGGGTTACATTTAGGACCATTAGTTTTAGGAAAAACATAGTCAGAAGGTGGTATCCATACGTTCAATAGAATATTACGCTTCTCTTGGTTTGATAATTTCCCTACTTTGTCTACAAACAAGCCAATATCAAATTCGTTGCAATCATCTTCTGTTGTTGCATTTTCACAATTTACATTTAATTTTGGAATTACGACTCCTGATACTGGTTTTTCAAATTTATTACTTAAAACCGAAGATGAACTGGATACTGGCAAAGGTTTATTGTTCACAGAAAAAAAATTATTAATACTCAATGATGGTTTGGTTAAATTAATTTTTTGAACAGCAGAACAAGGTATTTGAAGAAGTGAATTATTTGAAGGGCGTTTTTCACCAGTTGCAACAATATTTTTTGAATAATTTAAACTTGTTTGGGTACGAACTAAAATATTTGGAAACTCTGGCTGAGTGCTTATAATAGATACTAGAGGGACAAAATGATTAGGCTTGAAATAATGCATTTTTCCCATATGTGTAAGATTGTCTGGAAATTCTTTCTTTGATTCAACATTGTAAAGCAATAAGTAAATTATTTGATAGGGTTCATCAAATTTCTTAAAAGTCTGTGGGTACAATGTACTTCTAAATAAATATTCTAAACATGCATCTCCTGTAGTAGGATAAAAGAGTTTCAATGGAATCTGAAATAGAAAAAAAAAATAGAAAAATAATAATATCTATATAATAAAACAATAAAATTCAAATCAGTTTAAATGTTAATTTTATACAAATGAGAATATACTTTTAAAACATTTGAGATTGACATCACACACACTAAAGATGACCAAACACCAGATTGAGAAATATTTAATGCTTCAGCCAAAATAGCATCAACTTTAGACTTTTTAGCTTTAAATGCAGTACATGCAACATTGGATATTCCTAACAAAAAAGCGGATCTTTCTGATTGAAAAACACCACTTAAATGCCCCAGATGAAAAACAGGATGCACAGCAAAAAAATTTGCATTCTTGTATAACTCGATTGCACAAAGCTTCCTAAGAGTTGTTGCTAGCATATTGTTTCCGATTAAAGCAATGGAGACAGCAGAAAATAAACAATTGCCATCTTGAGGAGTTCTGGACATAAGAATAAATTTATATGCAAATACACCCGCATACACGCACACAAACATACACACGCCTACACACACACACACACACACACACACACACACACACACACACACACACACACACACACACACACACACACACACACATTTTTTGACTATAAATCAAGAAGTTCTTTTGATATAGCAAATCTAGCACTAACTAAAAATTCTAAATATCTATTCATCCATTGCGTTAGTCAGCTGGACACCAAAAAAACTATAACAAAGATTTTACCTGACAGGCACCATTGAACATGTTTCTTCGTTTGTAAGTTTATCAGCATACAATCTAGCCAAACTATTACTTGCTGCAACATCCATAAAACCATCGGCTCCACCAGACAATTTATATAAAATATAGATTCCATCAGAGTTTTTCTGGGAGCGCTTGTTTAATTTGGCAGTGTTACTTAACTTAATCTGATCAATTAAAGAATGGTTGTTTGCTTTTAACGCTTGATAGAGCTCCATTGCACTCATTAAAAAAATTAATTAACGCATATTTTTTGATTTAGCAAAGCAGATTTTTGTTTTTTTTGCTACACTTGTTACAGGTTCTCGTTTGATGACCTTTAGTCCTAACTTAAAACCTCCTTGTTAATAAAAAGATTGCATAGAAATAAGCATAATTTTTATAAAGTATCAGGGGGTATGTATAGAGTAGTTTGAAATAATGACAACCTGACTTTTGCTACAGTTGCTACAGTCGATTTGCCATTTTATTTAACTCCCAGTCCATTTTAAGTTGATACGCTGCGAAATGTTTGACATTCTTTCAAAAATATTTGAGCATGTGAGACAAAACCCAAAAAACTTGGGTTTTTTATTATATTTCTGAATGCAATATTTCCGTAAGATAGTCAACTTGGCTCAGCTACAATTATGAATAAATTTTCGGAGCGCCGCGCCTTCACTACTTGCAACCTATCTTGTTAAAATTATATTCTTCTTTTGCATGAAAAAATGAATGTATATATCAAATATAAAAAAAAAGAAAAACGACAACTAAGCTGGTTGTAGCAATTGCTACACTTGCTACAGCCTAGATCCGCCCCTGGTTCGGTGTCACTCATAATAAAAACTAGTCAATGGAGCGACACTTTAATAAAATAAACAAATAAAATAAAAAAATAATAAAACAAAGAAATAATAAAGAAAGTAAACTATATTAATACAAGTAATAAAAAAAGAAGTATAAGGAACAATAATATTTAAAAAGTTGGAATTAGTACAAAATATAAAGGAGTAACGCTAAGAAAAATGAAAAAAAAAGAGAGAGAATAAACGGATGAGATAAGATGAGTGAGAAAATATGTAAGAGAATACAAAAACTTAATCACTTAAGTTCAGAAGGATAGAGTGACAGAGAACAATTTTTGCAGAAAAAAACAAATTAAAGGCAAATTTAAATTAAAAAATATATACATACACTACTATATACAATATTAAAGGCTATATTAAAGTCTATAAACTGACCGCTTTAGAAGATTCCAATCCCGGAATAAAAAATGAAGTTTTAAAAGAAGCTAAAAATTTTTATAAAACTTGCTCTGAATATATCAAAGAATGGATAATGAACTTTGGAGCATTGAATTGTTTCAAATAGACCCTTATAATAGTGAAATTTAATGGAAAAAAGTTTCTTCAGCAGTCGAACTTGAATTAAAGGAAGTAAAAGATATTGATATTAATGACAATTTTTTCTTTGAAGAAATTCGAAGAGTAAATTTGTATTTAAATGAAGAAAAATTGAAGAAATGGAACAATCAGAAAATAAAACTTGACAAAAGATGGGTAGAAATCTTTCGGCATTTTAGAGTAGAACATATCCCACATGGAAATTTAAAAGTTTTAATAGAAATTTCTTTGTTGTCCACGCACTAATGCTGCTGTTGAAAGGGTATTTTCGCAAAGGAGTGATTATTGGAGCAGCGAGAAGTTGCAATTTTCTGTAAAAACATTATACGTCTTAACAGTCAAATATAATATATAATTTAATATGTTCTGATGCTGCTACATTATTAGACGAACATCCTCATTTAGCAAAAAAAATCCACTCTGGAGAAAAATATGTTTTTAAAAGAAAATAAAGTTTTTATCGTTTTTCTTCTTTTTTTTTCACCTATGAAATACTTGCAAAGTGTACTCTTTTTGAACAAAAGATAGTTGGTCCCCTTAAGATAATTAAAAATGGAATTAGTTTTTTGGGCACCACTTTTTAAACAAATTTCTAAAAACCCAATTTGAATCCCATAATATTGTGAGTCCTAGGCCTAGGCTTTGATGGCAACATTTATAAATAGACTTTTTGCAAATTTTATTTAAAATATTTTACATGTATGCTTAAATTTTGTCACTATTTTTAGATTTTCAGTGAATAAATTCCTATATAAAAGTATATTTTATATTAAGTATTTATGGAATATTTTTCTCTTTTACTATCAGCTCTTGAGCTGATTAAACTGACTTGATCAGCTTCAGCATTAATCTAAGGCTAATGATTTTATAGCTGAAGCTGAAATATCAGCTGCAACCTCTACTTTATAGACTACATAGTTAATTTTTACCCCATGTTTTTTTATAATATTTATTACTTTGGAAATACTTACTTTTGCCGAGTATTCTTTAGATAAAAATAATATTTACTTAAATTACTCTATTCGAGGTAATAAACAACAGTAATATTTACTCAAATTTTTATATTTGTCCCCAAAAGTTAATGCAGTTTTTTTATACATAACTCTCTCTAATTCTAATAATAAAAAGTTATTACCATTATTATTATAATTATATTTACTAACCTGTTATTACTAATATTTATCAAAAATACATTCTGGCTGATGATGTCACTTTTACTCAGACCAGTTTGCATACTGATGTCAACAGTGCACCATGCAGAAATATTTTTGAACATGCTGCAAAATACAAGATATACATAAGATACATATCAAATAAGATCTATTACCTGAAACTTAACATTTTATCGTGTTTAACTTACTATAACTCAATTATAATATTTTTTTTTTTTTTTTTTTTTTTTTTTAATTTTACATTTGTTGGTCGTATTACAATAAAATATTGCCAAAAAAAATAAATAATGATAATAATAATAAACTTTCACAAATATAAAATAAGGTATTTGAAAGAAGATCAAAGGATCTTGTCGTCAGAACCTTAAATAAGTTCAAACAAGCATTAACAGTATCAAATTTTTACAAATTTTATAATTATATATTATGTAATTCAATGAGAGACCACGCGGATCTACTCACCAATATTTTATATAAACGTATGCGTTAAGTAAAGAATATAAAATCAAAAATTAAGAATAAACTTTTTACAAATGTAAATAAGAAAAGTCAAATTTATTAATTCATATTATTAATAATAACATAATACGTCATCTAATGAAAAAATTAGGGTTTTTAGTTTACTTTCAAAAAAACGAAAAGTAATGGGTAGTTCGAAGTCAAAATTGGGCAAAACAATTTTATTTCAAAGGTGTGGTGCCCGATAGGCAATACAAAATTGATTAAAGTTCGTTTGACAGAAAGGTTTATTTAAAAAATCAGTATTTCTCAAATTGTATTTGTTGATGGGTTTCGGAGTAAAAATGTCTTTGAAGACAGATTGAGACAAGTCATTTTTCCACATGTAAACAAAGCATAAAACATTATATATATTTAGCTTGTATATATTTAAAATTCTCATTTCTATGAAATAATGTTTTGCGTGAGAAAAGCAATTTGTAAAGCAGATTAAACGGATAGTATGTTTCTGACGGCGATAAAGACGTTGCTTACTTTTTTCTGTACTACCCGAGGCGATATTAGCATAATTTAAATAACTATATATGAATAATAAAGTTTGATTAAAATATAAATGAATAATAAAGTTTGATTAAATTTTTTTTATTGAGGTAGATTCTTGCTTTATATAAAACTCCTATGTTTTTTGAAATTTTAGTGCTTATGTAGTCGATATGATGATTCAAAGAGTTGATTTCATCAAGATAAACACCTAAAAATTTTGTTACGGAATCCATTTTTATTTCAATTTGATCAATAAAAATTTTAGGTAAGTTTAATGGCAAATATCGTTTTTTGGAAAGCGAATGGAATAAGGTCCACTTTGTTTTATTAGAATTTAGAGTTAACTTATTACATTTAAACTAACTCGATACATGTCTAAGCTCTTTATTCATTGTTTTCAAAAGTTCAAAGATATCACTGGTAGAAAGGAATAAGTTAGTATCATCTGCAAACATAATACTTGTTAATTTAGAGGCTATATTTAAATCATTGAAATAAATTATGAAAAGGAGTGGACCAAAAGTTGAGCCTTGTGGGACACAACATGTTATAAAAAGACAATTGGTATGATACTCGGAACAAATTGTTTACGATTTGACAAATAGCTTTCAAACCATTTAAAACTTGATTTTTTATTCCATGGTGTTTAAGTTTATAGATTAGAATTTTGATTTAAATAAGCATATGGTTATAATATATGTAATAACTATTATCTTTTTTTAGTTATTGTTAAAATTTTATCAGTATTATAAACATAAGTATTATATTACAAGTATTTACAATTATAGGTATTGTAAGTATAAGTTATTATTATGTAATTATGAAGTTATTGTTAATATTACAAGTGTACAATTTTAAATTAAAATCAAAAAATACCAATGATTAAAAAATGAGGTTGATGCATAACAATAAAGCCATTTTTTTACATTTAAACATCTAATTATATCTTTATTTATATCTGACGGTGGGTAAACTTTGTTAACATCAGTCATTTTGCTTGCAAAAAATATCGAAAAATCAATGAAAAAGATTGGATCTGTAAAAACGATTTAAAAGCTTTTAATTCCCTAAATATAACCTATCCATTACATTCCATTCGCCTGTTTGCTCTTTTTAAATATTTCTGACTAAACCAATTCTTTGATTAAACTTAAACCATTTATTACAATCACTAGCAGAAACAAAACATTATATTTTGATCATTTTAAAAATGCAAACAGTGTCTCAATGGAATATTTACTACATGTTTATTATTTCTGGAACATATGTTCAACAAATATGTTAAACTTTGTAAATTTATTTAAAAAAAAATATATAAAAAAATTCTTTTATAATGGTAATAAACAAATGAAATTTTAAAACAACATCTTTTTAATGGAGTTTCAGAGTCACAAAATACATCAAAAAAAATTTCTCTTTAATTACAATGTAAATATAATTTATAGAAAAAATATAATGCATAAAAGTTTTAATCTTATTTCACGCACAATACGAATTATAAATGGCAACCATCGAGTAAGTTTTGTTATGATTTTTTTAATTATCAGTTTAAACCTTTTGGGAACCTAATGGGAAACCCGTCAAATTCCCAGATTCTTCGGCCCTGATAAAAACCAGATAAAACCCAAACGAGCTAATATGCTTGAATTTATTACCCTATGGGACCCGTCTGGAAACCAAAACACTTACCCGTCAAAATCCCGTTCCCGTAAGTTCAGAAAAAAACCA